GTACAAAATTCAAAACAAACAAACCTAGGCATTAAAAATAAATTAATTTATTAATTTTAAAGACAGTATATTGCTTAATATTCAACTTTTGTTTCTTACATTTCCTTTTAATCATTCATATCGGATGTTAAAGATTTCTTTGGTATTTTTTGGTACAGTAATTGCAAGATGGTAACAGTATGAAATTGGTGATTAAATAACTTAAAAACACTAGATTAAGTAACTTAAGAACATCTATATTATCAAACTGATAATCAAAGCTAAATACTACCAAGTATTCTAGCATCTGCATTATCAAACTGATCATCAAAGCTAAGTATTACCAAGTATTCAAGCATTTGTATTATCAAATTGATAATCAAAGGTAGATATAATAATATATCAGGGCTCTAATTTTACTTCTACACTCATTCGCAAAAAATTGCAATTGCATTTAAAAACTTCTTACTAAAGTGCTGAGCTCACTTGCAATTTTTATGTGGCTCATTTGATATTCTTATTTCTTTTGTAAAAATGTATTATAATTAAAGGTAAAAAGTCTGTATTGTTATTTAAGTTGTGGGTCAATAAAGAAACTGAAAACTACATATTTTCAGTGTTTTTATTCATTTTTAAGTAACTGAAATCTGTGAATACAGTTTTCAATAACACAAATTGTAATAGAGCAAACTGAAAGTATTCCCAGCAGAAAGATTAAAAATAACTGCTAGAGTTTTGTCAAATATTTGCAATGACACAATTCTTCAGTCCATTTATTGGTGTCAGTTTTAAGGGATGCCATAATGAACAACTTTTACTTTTATTGTCACTGGATGACTCTTGCTTGTCATCAGTTTCATTTCCAGAATTGGCATGTTTAAATTTTTTTTATTTTTGTGTTTGCTGTTGCACTAATGCAAATAAAAACAAACTAGTCATCTATGGTAAAGTGTATCTTATTTATAAAGCAGCGTGTTTAGTTAGTTATGATAAAATGTATTTTTTATTCTCCATATTATTTTCATGAGATAAGATATCACATTTATAATGATAATCACTCTAATTATGACTTTTGGACCAGATCATTATTATCCACCAACAGTTATCATTCTTACAACCAGCTTTAGCTATTTTACCATAAGGGTGATTGAATAAATATTGCATGGTATTTGTTCATACTCAAAAAAATATCTGAACAGTACTTTTTGCTGTGCAAACAATGCGTTTTTAATTATGCACATGTTCCAGTGTCTAAATTTTGACTTTTTCTTTTTTTTCTTCCAGCGGTGCGAACTGATCGAATGAGGGGTGGAAGGAACAAGTTCGGTCCCATGTATAAAAAGGACCGAGCGAGGAAGTTGCAGCTCCTACGTCAAAAACAGCTAACCCAATCACGGTGTCAAGAGGTTACGAGGAGTGAGGTGGTACCCAAAACCTCAGCTCAAACATTGTCTCTACCTCATGCCACTTCTGTGTCTGTTTCCTCTTCCCCCTTGTACTCATCAGACTCAACACTCGTCAAGCAGGAACTTATTCAGATCCCTCAACTCAGTTCTTCTACCAGTTCCCCAGACCCTTCACCTTCATCACTCTCTGCAACTGCTTTAGCTCTACCTATCCCTTACAAGGGAAATCAGCCTCATACACCCAACCCTCAGGCTGGGGAATGCTTAAAAAACTTGTGTGTAACTACCCATGCACCCAAGAAATCCTTGCCTTCATCTCATGTAATATCTAATCCTTGCCCTCCTAAATTATATCGGAATGACCCAGGAAGTTCACATCTTACACCTGTTACCCTAGTGGAAGGGAGTGATAAAACTACACTTCTTATCAAGGAGTTGCACATGAGTATGGCAGATGATAAAGAGTGGCAGAGGCAGTTGTTCAGTCTCCTACAAAACCAGACTTGCAATCAGTATGGGGTGGACCTTTTCAAACTAATGTGTAAAGTCATTGACCAGTTCCTGTTTGCTCAAGTGGACTGGGCAAGGAATAGTATTTTTTTTAAAGAACTTAAGGTAAGTTCAAAATTAAGTTATCTTTTTTTTTATGATGACCGAAGTTCTCAAACTATGATTGTCAAGACATTTAAAGGAATCAATTTTTACTCTTGTTTTGAGAGTGGATATAGTTCTAGTTCATTATAAGAAATATGTCCATAATCAGACTCAATAAAATGAAAATTTGAGGTCATTCAACTAACAGCACCTTGACAGTATAGGGTATAAATAAACAAAATGCAAATTCTCTTTTAAGAAATACTTTCTGAATGTTTAACTAGGTTAATCAGCAGATTACAAGTGTTAATCTTGTTGATTTCCAAAACTAGTTATTTGTAAATTGAAATCGGTGATTTAGTGTGTCTATGAACGGAACATCCTAGTATTGCCAGTTGCTTTAACTACTTAATATTTGAAATCAAGGTAGTTAGGTTGCTTATCCCATGAGCTAATTATTTTGTTGTCAAAAACTTAACACTGTCTGACTTAGAAATTAGTTATTTAATTAACGTTAAGTCTTGGTTTTTCCTAATGGCTTAAGCTGTGTAATTATAGTCTCATATTCATGGATATAAAGGTACTGATCACCATAAGTTAATCATATATTTAAAGTAGTTAAGATGCTAATTGAGCAAATATTATTTTATTTTTCGAGCATACGAAGTTTCAGGTGGAAGTTATTCATCAAGTAAATTAAACAATGTATATATCACAGGAACCGTTTATTGAAATAACGTTATGGTTTGAACTCCTTTGCTGGCAAAGTGTACGTACAATAAATTTTATTTTTCATAACACAATAGTGTAAGGTTTATTTTATTTTTATCACTACATTCTTTGTTTTGTGCTTTACGGTGTTTCCCAGAAGAAGAGTGTGTAATCCTATTTCTTCCACACCATATTCATTTCCGATGATGCGTTTTGCTCATTACCAGAGTTCAACAGGCCTGCTGGGTTGGGTGTTGGGGCTTTAAGGCGTAAAGTACCAGTGCTGTCTGCACAAAACGTTTTGTTCTAATTTTTAAAAAAAATTCAAAAAAATAATGTAGAATATGTAAAAAATAAAAATCATACTCTAAAGGTCCTTTTTTTTTTGCAAGCATGATTAGGAAATTAAACAGAAGTAAAAAGGCCAGTGAAGAGCTAAAAGCACGATCAATCAGGACGTTGTAACCATTGCCAATAATACTGTTTAACGTCAATGACAAACCACGGGATATGTCTAATGTTGCCTCCACTGGTAGCCGTAATGAGGGGGTTTGGTTGAAATACTATTTGTATTTTACACTTACCTTCTCGGAAAAAGTTCAAGGGACCGAATAAAGAATGTAACGTTAAAAATACAATAAACCAGTGAGATTGTCAAACATTTGTCTTTTTTATATATCCAATAAATAAATTAGCAAATGATTGTCCCATTTTTGTGATCATGGCCACCACTTTAGCTTGTTTGTAGAATTGACCACCAAAGGAGAAGGCATTGATGGGAAATACTGGTCTTATAAGGTGAATTGAACTATTGATTGGGAAGGGGGGTGTAAATGTTTCGTTGATCAAGGTAGAACTTTAACGGATTACTATATATATATATAATGATTTGATGTCGAAAGTGTGGGAAGACATCCGGGAAGACTTTGAGTGTTTTAGTGTTATTTCAGGTAAGAACAAATAAGTGATGTCATAATATTGTCCAAAGCAGTGGTTCTCAAACTTTTGAAGCTGGCGTACCCGTTTTCAAATTTAGTATAAATTCCCGTACCCCATGACTCTGATACTTAAATCCAAAATTACAAATATTCAGCTATAATTTTTATTTTATTTACTTGTAATTATTATTTTTTACTGAAGCTACTGCCGCTACTAGTGACTATGATTCATAAAGTTCGGATGCATTAAAGCATTACAAATGTTATTTAACGAACAACAATGAAAAAAAAACAATATTTTAAAATATAGACAAAACAACGTCTACATTATACTATAAAATTAAAAAAAAATAAAAATGACTATATATATTTCGGTAGCTTCCTTGAATTAAAAAACAGGATATTCAGTATTAATACCACTAGCAGCTACATTTTATGTGTGTATTTTAATATTTTATCTTACTAATTACTATTATTAAACGGTAATCCGGAAGTTTTCTTATTTGGTTCCTTTTTTTCCTGTTTCATTTCGTTATATTTTTCCCTTTCGTTTCTCATATCCTTTCGATGACTATCACATAACTCCCCCAACCCCAGGCGTACGGGAATCACAGTTTGAGAAACACTCGTCTAGAAGATTTGAGATAAGCTCCGTTGGACAACTACGTGAAGAGATGATAGAATTCTCAAGTTTATAGATCTTAGGAATGACGTACAATAAAGGAGTTCTTGGTCCTTGGCAGCAGTAGGTAGGCCATCAGTGGCTATCAAGTTTATAGATCTTAGGAATGACGTACAATAAAGGAGTTCTTGGTCTTTGGCAGCAGTAAGTAGGCCATCAGTGGCTATCAAGTTTATAGATCTTAGGAATGACGTACAAGTAAGGTAGTTCGTGGTCTTTGGACGTAGACAGTAGGTAGGACCGATACGAGTGACTAGTACGTAAGTTAATAGTATACGTAGAAGTCGTACGTAATA